TATCAGCCACTGTCCTAATTCAGGATTTCTATGACTGAGACTAGTTCGATGAGATCCTTACTCCAGGTACTCATAATTTAGTGTAGACAACCTCAATTGGCTCTACGTGCATCCCCACTCAGTCCTATAGTCTGTATTATACAGACCATCACTCTACGTGCATCCCCACTCAGTTCTATAGTCTGTAGTATACAGACCATCACTCCTGGCACCCCGGCACCCCTGGCACCCCGGATTAAGTAAAAAAAAAAAAAAAATTTTAAAAGAAAATGAAACAAACTGGCTCTAAACCAGATGTTGAGTTGAGTTGAGTCAAGAATTGACATCACAGCACTCGCGGGAAATGTCTATATGCATTTAGTACCCATTCCCAACAGCCAGCGCAAAATTTGAAAACAAATAGGACCGGTCGTAGTCCGGTTTTACGTCCGTCTTTACTTTCCTCTGAGCGTAGTGTGCCGGCCGAACCCGCACGTCACACCCAGGTGCACCATTCTCTCAAGCCCACATTAATATAGTTTCTCTTCTGACTTCGTTACTTCTTCCCAAAGGTTTCTGGCCACACTGTCTTGTCATGTATCGATTTATCACCCAGCGGTGCCCGGCTCTCTAGCGAAGTTGGTTAAACCTGACTTTCGCGGCGGCCGGGTGACGAACTCCTTGTGGTCCGGGTTCATTTCCGGGGGTGGGCAGAAAAGCCACATTTCTCCCAGATTAACGGTACCTATAATGGAATCAAGGCCGAAGGGTTGCGATATCCATAGTACCGAGCCAAAAGGTTTACAACTCATGGTTTCTGGATACGTTAAAAAAAAATAAAAAAAAATCACCCAGCGGTGCAGATCCAGCCAATCTATGTGCTTCTTCATTCCCCACCACGCCGGCAGTGCCTGCAGAAAAGATCCAAAGTAAGTTCACTACCAGTGACCTTGCAAGTGAAGCTTGAAACTCTGCTCGAAGCAATACTGTCCTTACCCTTCTCAGCATGCTTCGAGAGTCAGCTACCTCCATTCCCATGCTAGATGTTGTTGTATCATATGCCAGGCTGTCCCGCCCTAACGATTTTCCAATGGCTTTCACTACGAAACCCATGGCACAGCACTTCCCTCTCAATATAGAATCATTTGTGTAGATAATCAGATAATCCGGACGAGAACTGGCGTGAATCAACTGTTAGACTTCCACCTTAGTAGCCCTGCTAGCCACTCATTGAACTCCCTGCCTGATGTGATCATGATGCTATTTAGGTCAGACTTTTCCTCTGCTACTCTCACCCTCTCCTCTCCTCGCCCAATGTTCTTCAACATGCATATTTGTCTTATTGTGTCTTCTGTTGTCTGTAACTCTTGAGCAATCTGATTCCGATCTCTCGCTTGCCTATATAAGAGAATATCATTTGCGAATGTCAGTATTCTACCAAATCAAGGTACTTTCAGTTCCGCAATCTTGCTCGTTAACACATTGAACAGCATATGTGAAACCGCAGATCCCTGTGGTAGTCCTGGGGCTATTAAAAGTGGTTCGGAGGTCTATAAACTCAGGCGGAAAGCTTCCCGGCGAGAATACAAAGCAGCTGCTATCCAGTTCACCAACCAAGGACAGGCTCCCGTCTCCACAAGCGCTGCCATCAAGACATTATATCTGACTCTGTTGTAAGCAGATTCTAAATCACATGCCGCTACTACCTTGTCCTGCCTGTTCGGAAAACTTTCTAAGGCGTTAGAGGCAAAAGTGGCTGCATTTGACCAAGTATTCTTTCCTGGCCATTAACTTTCTAAACCTCCCGGAAGAAGCTTTCTCTGTTCCAAAAATTCTTGCATCTTACCCGCTGCTATCTTCTCCAGCACTTTGGCAAACGTCTTCTGTAGTGTTATGATCCTAAAGCCGCTGTGTGTTGAATGATCCTTGCCAGGCTTAGGAAGTGGAGTCAAATAGTTGTGCGTCTTGTAGAACTAAAACTGTCCTAATGCTCTAGTTGAGGCAGGCAGTGTTCTCAAACGCATCACTGATGTCCCTTATGTGGGAATATCTTACCCGTCAGGCCCGGGTGCAGTGTTTTTTACCTTTTTCAGAACATGTTCACATCTTCCACCTGTATAAAGTCTTCATAATGTATATTTTTTATGGCGGCTGACAGACCTTCTCTAACTGCATCTCTGTTGTCGATTTTCCAATGGCTTTCACTACGAAACCCATGGCACAGCACTTCCCTCTCAATATAGAATCATTTGTGTAGATAATCAGATAATCCGGACGAGAACTGGCGTGAATCAACTGTTAGACGTCCACCTTAGTAGCCCTGCTAGCCACTCATTTGTAGTTGTCTCTGGTCTATCTGTGAAATGAACCTCTTCAGGAAGGCCTCCCCTTTTCTTTGTCTGTGGTCAATACCAAGCTGTCGTCTCTATGGACTGTTCCCACTAAATTGGGCTGATCTTTCTTGAGCATCTGCCTGTGTAACTTCCAAAATTTTTCTAAAATCATACCGCCCCCAATTTCATGAATAAAATGCCCCACCCCCCCCCTCCTCCCTTTTTATTTGCATCTGCTGCACACCGCATAAAAACCTCTATTATATCTATCATATTTCTGGCAGGGCACTCTAATTCCTCCTGCGTGCCTAATGACAACAACTCTATCAGTATATATTTTTATCTGGCAGTAGTAGTAGATGTAGCATTAGTGCTTGGTGATAGTATAAGTGGCAGTAGAAGATGTAGCATTAGTGTTTGGTGATAGTAGAAGAGACAGTAGTAGATGTAGCATTAGTGCTTGGTGATAGTAGATGGAACAGTAGTAGATGTAGCATTAGTGCTTGGTGATGGTAGAAGTGGCAGTAGTAGATGTAGCATTAGTGCTTCATGAAAGTAGAAGTGGCAGTAGCAGATGTAGCATTAGTGCTTGGTGATAGTAGAAGAGGCAGTAGTAGATGTAGCATTAGTGCTTGGTGATAGTAGAAGTGGCAGTAGTAGATGTAGCATTAGTGCTTGGTGATAGTAGAAGTGGCAGTAGTAGATGTAGCATTAGTGCTTGGTGATAGTAGATGGGGCAGTAGTAGATGTAGCATTAGTGCTTGGTGATAGTAGAAGTGGCAGTAGTAGATGTAGCATTAGTGCTTGGTGATAGTAGATGGGGCAGTAGTAGATGTAGCATCAAAGCTTGGTGATAGTAAATGGCGTAGTAGTAGATGTAGCATTAGTGCTTGGTGATAGTAGAAGTGGCAGTAGTAGATGTAGCATTAGTGCTTGGTGATAGTAGAAGTGGCAGTAGTAGATGTAGCATTAGTGCTTTTTGATAGTGATAGTAGATGTAGCATTAGTGCAGTGATAGTAGATGTAGCATTAGTGCTGTGATTTGATGATAGTAGTAGATGGGGCAGTAGTAGATGTAGCATTAGTGCTTTTTGATAGTAGAAGTGGCAGTAGTAGATGTAGCATTAGTGCTTGGTGATAGTAGATGTGGCAGTAGTAGATGTAGCATAGTGCTTGGTGATAGTAGATGGGCAGCAGTAGCATTAGCTTGGTGATAGTATATTGGTGAGTAGTAGATGTAGCATTAGTGCTTGGTGATAGTAGAAGTGGCAGTAGTAGTAGAATTAGTGCTTGGTGATAGTAGAGAGTGGCAGTAGTAGATGTAGCATTAGTGCTTGGTGATAGTAGATGTAGCATTAGTGCTTGGTGATAGTAGAAGTGGCAGTAGTAGATGTAGCATTAGTGCTTGGTGATAATAGATGTAGCATTAGTGCTTGGTGATAATAGATGTAGCATTAGTGCTTGGTGATAGTAAAAGTGGCAGTTGTAGATGTAGCATTAGTGCTTGGTGATGGTAGAAGTGGCAGTTGTAGATGTAGCATTAGTGCTTGGTGATAGTAGAAGTGGCAGTTGTAGATGTAGCATTAGATGTAGGTTGTGCTTGGTGACAGTAGAAGTGGCAGCACTAGATGTAGCATTAGTTTCTGGTGATAGTAGAAGTGGCAGTAGTAGATGTAGTATTAGTGCTTGTTGACTAGTAGAAGTGGCAGTAGAAGATTCAGCATTAGTATCTAGTGATAGTAGAAGTGGCAGTTGTAGATGTAGCATTAGGTTTTGTGACAGGAAATGTGGCAGTACTAGATTCAGTAATAGTATTTGGTGATAGTGGACGTGGCAGTACTTTATTTATTAGTAGTGTCTTGTACTGGTAGATATGGCAATAGTAGATTCAGCATTAGTATTTAGTTATAGTAGATGTGGCAGTAATAGATTTAGTAATAGTATTTAGTTATAGTAGATATGGCAGTAGTAGATGAAGCATTAGTATTGACTGATAGTAGATGAAGCAGTACTAGATTTAGTAGTAGTGTTTGATGATAGTGGATATGCGGCAGTACTAGATTTAGTAATAGCATCAAGTCATAGTAGATGTCTCAGTCCTTTATTCGTTATTAGTCCCTATGAATGGTAGATATGGCAGTAGTAGATGTAGCATAAGTATCTATTGATAGCATATGTGTCAGTACTAGATATAGTAGTAGTATGTAATAGTAGTAGATGTGGCAGTAGTAAATGTAGCATTTGTATTGAGTGATAGCAGAAGTGGCAGCACTAGATTTAGTAGCAGTACCCGGGGATAGTAGATGTAACAGTAATGGATATTGGTGATAGTCGATGTGGCAGTAGTAGATTTATTATAAGTCCTAGGGGATAGTAGATGTTAAAGAAGTAGATGTAGCATTTGTATTGAGTGATAGTAGATGAGGCAGCACACAATTTTGTAGCATTATCTGGGGATAGCAGATGTAACAATAGTGGATGTAGCATTAGTGTCTGTGGATAGTAGATGTGGCAGTAGTAGACGTAGCATTTGTAATGAGTTATAGTAGATGTCTCTGTACTTGATTTAGTAGTAATATTTTATTCTAATAGACGTGTGTGTGTCGCTTTTCTTGTCTTAGAGTTTTCTATGTCACTGTAAAGAAATCCTTTGCAGTTGACAGTAAAATTTACATCCTGGTAGCTTACCATTTTGCCATTGAGAACAAAAACATCACTGTAACTTGTGTTGGGTGGGTGGCGCAGTTTGGCCATTATCACCCGCTGTCGCATCAAATCCAACTCCAGAAACCAGATGGCAGGTACAGATGTTGCTAAATAAAGCACCACACTAGGACATATCCTGAAGATGAGAAATAATTTGTTGGAAGCTTTATAGACAATTTGTTTTTAAATTGTAGCCAATTGTCACAATTTTGATTAAATAGTATTCTTTACGATGAAGACAGGAGACATTAGACATGTAACGGTGACTATCACAGGCATAGATGCTATCTTCTACATGAAACCCGCACTTGGCTACATGAATAATGAAGACCCACGCTAACGAAACACACAAGGTGTAATTTCCAGCCATCATGATCTGTGCTTGAGCTAGGTTGTCTAGGAGAATGCAGTTCATTTGTTCGTGTGGAAAACTAAGCATCAAATTAACCTTTCCATCATCCACGTGTCAAACATGTTGGGAACTAATAAATAGATTATATCATCTATATGAACCAGATTTTAGAATACAACATTCCAATACCAAAGTAGTTATAACTATGCATGAAAGACACTTATAATATAGTAATAAAATAACAGCAAAATGTCAGACCCTTTTAAAAAAAAAAATCTGGTTTAAAGCAAGGTGATGCTCTGTCCCCACTTTTGTTTTCAACTTGGCCCTAGAGAAAATTATAAGGAAATTGAAACAAGAATGTACTATAGGGGAAACTACAAGATTGCTAGGTTATGCAGATAACATTGCTATCGTTAGAGAAAATGAATTAAAGACTGTAAAAACGCCGACATTCTGTAAAGAAGCAGCTCATGAAATGGGACTAGCTATCAATCAAGATGAGACAAAATATATAATAATAACTAGACAGCAAAAGGATATGAACTCGGGCAAAATACAAGTCGATAATATGAACATTAAATGAACGAAAACATATAAGTACTTGGGTGCAAACTTCAACTGCTCCAACATGCTGAGAGAAAAAATAAAATATAAAATCATCATCATTATCATCATCAGGTGTCTTGCCGACTGGCGTGGGCGATCATCCCTCTCCATAATCTGCGATCTCCTGCAGCATGTATCAGTTCGTGTGCCAACACACCTCAATGCCATGCAACAAGACTGTCAAGCATCTTCTCTCGTTGTCTTCCTCTATCCCTCCTTCCACAGATCTTTCCAGTGGTCACAACATGTTCTATTTTCCCTCTTCTCATAACATGGCCGAAAAATGATGACTGTCTCCCTCTGATGTCTGTGATAATTTGTCTTCGGGCTCCTGCCTCTTTCAAAACTTCTTTGTTGCTCTTTTTTTCTGTAAAACCACATCTCTGAGGCCTCTATAAATTGTTTGGCCTGCCTACCGATTGTCCAGGATTCACAGCCATATGTTAAAACTGGATGTATGTAGCAAGCAAGAATTCTTTTTCTAACTCTCAATGACAAGGATATATTGCACAAGATGTTTTTATTTTATAAATGAATACAATATAGAATACAACCTGGAAATAAATACACTATGACCTTCAACATCTGCTTATGTCGAAGTGTCTATCTCGCAACACCAAGATCAAAATATGCAAATCATTGATAGACCAGTCGTTTTATATGGCTGTGAAGCTTAGAGAACAAATAGACATGATGAAGCCGTATTTCACATTTTCGAAATCAGTCTTACGACGAATCTTTGGACTCATCAAAGATGCAAACAGCGGTTAATGGAAAGTGAGAAGCAAACCAAATGCATATCCGTTTAAATAACCATTGATCACTTGCACCAAGAGATCTAATAGACTGAATGTCTGGGGCATATTGAGAGAATATCAGATCACAGAGAGGTACAAACTGTATACACAAGTGAAATGAATTGTCGTAGTCCACGAGGCAGACCAAGAAGACCATGGGGAGATAATGTCCAGACACACCTGCAAATACTTGGTGTAAACCAAAACACACACACACGCACACGCACGCACACGCACACACGCACGCACATGCACGCGCACACGCACGCACACACAATCAAATAACAGCTCAATTTACTCAGTTAGGCAGTAATATTGATAGTCACGGAAACAAAGAAATAAATTATGACACGCTTGACAAAGGCATCAGAAGCTTTAAAAAGCAGGAGTGAAATATAGAACTCTAAATTATATAAGCAACAACCTCTCATCTTGAATGTTATTGATTTCAAGAATGCTTTTGACAGCTTATATAGAATGTCACTTAAAGGATTTGTGGAACGCTACAGCATACCAGTACCCAAAAAAAAAAAAAAAAAAAAAAACACGGTTGCATTCTATCTCTCTTGTTGTTGGGAGTGGCCATTGATTAGGTAAGTGGGAAGTTTTGCAAAGTTAATACTGGCATCGGTTGGGTAGAGAAAAGAAAATGGAAGATCTGGATTTCGCAGATGACATTGTTCTGTTAAGTAAAACTAACAAAGATATACAAATAAAATCGCGATTTGACATCTACTGCATTAAAAATAGCATAACAAATAATTTTCGAGAGACAAATATATAAAAGATACCAAAAACAGAGCATGCAGATTTCATGCCAGATATCAAACCGATCAAAGTAACGGACGGTAAATGCATTTGAAAAAAAAAAATATGTCCGAAAAGAATCTTAAACATAAAATTGGATGAATTCAGAAAGAGTGAGATCAGATAAATGTCTGGACATATACCCCTATATACTGCATTAAAACATAGAAGATATAGATAAACCAGGCACACTCTGAGACTAAATGAGCAAGGAGTTATAAAACAGGCACTGAAAAATGAAATAACTGGTGTGAGAAAAAGAGACAGTGTACGGGAAACATTAAGAAGGACAATATTACGAGAGCAAACAATGCTAGACTGAATTCCATGTCAGAAATGTAGAAAGTTGCATGCCATAGATCGAAGAATAGGAATCGAATGCGAGCTACATGTGACGTCTAACTGCACACAAAGGATAGTGATTGTGAAATTATATAGTTGTAGAACCATGTCACATGTTTTTAATTTAATGTTATTTCAGTTTTAAAATATGCCATCAAAGTTGGAGATATGGAGATACTAAAGATATGGGCCGAATGTTAAATGCATTCGACAATAAATATCTGAGGAAAACAATGAGTATAGAATGTGATGAATTCAAGAGGAGTGAAGACATGAGAGAAATGTCTGTGCAACCACAAGTATCAACTGTTATAAGACAGAAAAAAATGGCGCTATATATAACACATTCTGAGAATAGACGAACAGAGAATCGCCAAAGAGGCACCGAAATGGGAAATAGAGGTGGTGAGAAAACTAGTACATTAAAGATAAACCCTAAGGTGAAGGTCGTTGGGAGGGGCCAAAGGTGCTGGGCTGGATTCCGTCCGTGTTATCGCAGTAACTGCACAGGGCACAACTGAAGGGAGCAAAAAACTGTCTGAGACCTATATGACATATAATGGCACAATCAAAACGATGAATAAATGAATTAATAGAACAAAAGGAAATATTCATGTCTCTATTTCCTTCCTACATTGTACAAGTTTCACTCCAGTGAAGCAAACGTTGAGGTTCCTAGCTCAGTCACGCGCAAGTAGTTCCAGACCAGCTTGACCAGACAAGAATGGTTTGTCTCATTAAGTGCATCATGAATGACTAGTCTAATGTTTATCCTAATGGGGGACCGGGGGGGGCATGTATGTGCTCTAGGCCCTGAACGTGTGGATTATCTGACGAATACACTGACAATTAAAACTGCTCTGGGGCTGGTAGGGAGCGATAATGAAACAGGGACGTTTAGTAATCAAATTGCACCTTTCTTTGCTTTTTCTACTTTCTCTGCCCTCTGGCCACTGCCCTTTTTTTCTATGCCTCTGACCGCACTTGAAGTTCCTATCGCCCATTTTAGCCGTTCTATCACCACCCCCTTCCCCCCCCCCACCCCTAGTTCTACCGAGGCGTGACCCAGCTCCCCCCCCCCCCCACCGTTAGACCGTCCAAGCGCCCCCTGGGGGCGGGTAGCGCCATCTTTGGGAAACACTGATTTATATGAACCATATAGTAAAGAACTAATAAAATTATTTTATTTTATCTTAAAAAACATGATAAGAACTAATAAAGTATGTTATGAAAACTATGAAACTATTAAATTATATCAACTATTTAAACCAGATAGTACGCAACTAATAAATTATATCATTTACAGGAATCATCACATAGGGAACTAATCAGTTATAACGTTTATATGAACCGCAGTGCAGGGAACTATCATTTTTGATAGTTTTTTACGTCTTGTATCACTCAAAACTATATTTTCAGCTAATAAATTCCAAAATAAAACAAGCGGTTTTTTTTTTCCCCTGACTGGGTTTGTGTTCTTGTTTTTCACAGTTAGTAAGGCGAGTTCATATAAAGCTTCAATAGCCTGCTGAATAAAGTTTTATCTGCTTTAGTGAGTTTAGCTTACTACCAAATATTCCTCAAATATTCTACAGATTATTTTTTTTTTTACTCGGGATGTACTGTATGTAATTGGATGGCTTTCTAAATAGGCAGGTCCATTGCATCACTACCGAGAACACAATGACTGACAGCATACTGAGGTTGTTGCTCCTCCCTGCTGTCTAATACTGTAATGGACGTTAGGCAGCGGCACTGTTCGAAACAGAGGCAAATTGTTTGCTTCTGCCAGACCGTGGCTGATGCATTTTTGCTCCATTTGTAGACTAGATATAGTTTCGTCGCCCAGCTTCTGAGTTGAATGCATGGCGTGACCCTGTGAGCTACGGATTGCATTTGGAATGTTTTTTCGACTGTGACCAATGTGTTGGTGTGAATTGTAGATTCAGAAAATGGCGCGATGCCTGTTGTGCAGTGTTGTGGTGCCCGTATGTGATTAAAATTGATCGCGTGAGCAACTGCTGATCTGTTGGCGACTTCTGCTACCATCAATGATGAACTGCAATTCTAATACTATGATAAACATTCTGTGTGTTTTTCGTTGGCACAGGAGCGGAGCAAAAAGGGGTGACCCGTTTGATATGAAGCTGAAACTAAGACTACCAGACTACCAGACTGTAAAACCAAACCTACTATATTCAATTCCTTCCATGGCACATACATTGTTATCATATTTGTATCATTAAAATAAAAGCAAACTAAAGAGTTTAACACAATTTTGAAAAAAAAAAAAAAAAACCATCCTCAACTGTCTTGTCACATAACTTAAATGTTTAAAATTGTGCAGTGCGCATGTTTTATCAGTAACGAGGCGAAATTGGAAGTAGATACGTTTGGGTCAGAATGTATTCTTGATCTCAAATTAAATGCACATTTAATTAAATAAAATAGATTTTCAACGGCAGATGTACAAACTGTTCATGAAAACAAAAACGTTATAGGCTGTTTGCTTTATAAATAGATTTTAAAAAACATTTCACTTATAATTAAACCGTCAAACTGTTAATAAAACAGATTATTACAGTTATACACACACTCACTTTAAACAATGCTCGACACCCCTTGCTACTTCCTTGTGCCTCCTTAAAAAATCTCCCCCCCCCCCCAATTCCCCCGCTCCCTCCCCTTTACCCAAGTTTGGAGAAACCCGATCTAGACCTTGCATGGTGATGCTGAGGGGCCACTTTATGTCTTTGTCCCTTTTCTTTCCTTGATACCATTGTTTAGCAAACCTTTCACGGAATCTCGAAACTATCACGCACGATTCTCGACGGTACAAATTATGAGTTCAAGAAGATTGTAGCTTTCGTTTAACGAGCACTTCAGTATTTCAGGTTTAGGAAGATGTTAGTGAGCCAGCGAAACAAACACAACTTACCATTTCCATTCTCTGTCTTTCTTCTTGCACAACGTGTAAAAGGTTTCGGCAACCATCAGCGGCAGAGTTGCACTCAGTAACCAATAGATGAGACTGCGTTTGATCTGTGTCACACGCCAGATGCTGATTAATCCATGGAAAACGAAAAGACTACGACTGATTATAGCTTTGATAATAGAGAGGAATCGGTTTGTCTTCTTGATGCAGGATCCCATGGCTGGGAGTTAGTTTCTGTCAAGTGGAAAACAGAACATAATGTTCATTTTGTCTTCAGTAAAAAAGATAAGTACAGATTAATCAAATAACTTATACCAAAAATAATTTTTTTTTCTTCTATCGTCATGTGGTAAATCCTTTGCTGAAAGTCGCTCCCATCAGAATTTCTTTTTATTGCGAGTTCCCCTTCCTCGTATATTTGCGCTAATTCATCTACTTCCGTTCAGCATGTATCAAGCGTCTATAGAATAAGCTGTAATGTATGGAAAAAAAAGTAAACAATCGAAGAGTGAAAGACAATTTTAGTCTAAAAACATAGAAGAGTTTTAAAGCATATACCTATTTTTTTTTTAAATTTAAAAAGATATCTCTATTTATAAAACTAACACCACAAGGCAAATTGGAAGTTACTGCAGAAAAAGACAGTCAATGATGTTACATGTTGTCAGCTAACGGGCAGTGGGGATCCCACCATTACGAGAAATATCAAGAAAGATCCTTCCCAAAAGTCCTGCTAAAGTTTAACCTAACAGTAACCTATGATAATCTGACATGCAACCAAATAATCCTGTCCTTCTGAGAAAAAATTAAAATGTAAACAAACATCTAGTTTCCATATTGCCCTATTTGCGGCACGTGAAAAACAAACACACAGAAAGAATCAAAGCAGACAATTCGCATGTTTAGAGTAAAAGAGTGCCAGGAAACATTTCAAAACATCACATTGCACGTATTTATACGTAACCCGAGCGATTAAAAAAAAATATAAGACGTATATATATATATATATATATATATATATATATATATATATATATATATATATATATATATATATATATATACATACTAAAATGTCATCACTATCAACTTCAAGGAAACTAGCACCATACACTTCGTCTGATGGGAAGTTCTTAAATATTTTAAGCGATACAGTAAACTCACTGTAAATCTTTTTAGATGGGCTGTTCTTATTCTTACTATTACCTCAAGAAGGTGCAGCTGTGTTTTCTTTCTAGCTTTTATTTAGATTGATGATGCAAGAGAAAACCCCCTCACATTAATAGCTTTACTAATTGGAGTTATTAAACACTTGGCTAACTGGTCATTTATGTTGTGCCTCTGGTGATCTAGTTCAGTTCAGAAGTGAACTTCACGCCATCGATCTGCGCTGCTGAAGATTTCATGTTGTACATCGTAGAATTCTAGTTCTTTAGAATATTTTTCTTATGGTCAATTTATTGATTTCATTGAGACATCATGCCTTGTTCATTGTGGAGTTCCAACAGTTCACGTCTTTCATGTTCATGAATTTTCACTTGGTTTACATTAATTTGTCTTTACATAGTAGAGAAAGCAGTGTAAAAAAAAGTGTTGCGTGCACATTCCTTTTACAGTTTTGACTTATTTGCGTGCAGACTGTTGGTTCCCTATATCTCATACAGATGCGTTTTGACTCCAAAGGATATTCTTTCACCAAGTTATGTGACTCCTAGTACAAGCTTGTTGGAGAAGCAATGGGTCTATTCCTGTGCTTTTTTTCCCACAACGGGGCCCCGGAGCCCACACAGGTAATGCATTCAGAATTAGGCTATGGGAGCCCTTTCGGGATGCATAAAGAATGCACGATTTGGCTGTTCAAGACACATCCTGATATGTCAACCATCCTGACTAAGAATACAGACAACTGGATACAGTCTTAGAGTTGCTAGTGATATAAAACATATTCTTTGCTAGGAACTGGATACTGTGGATGGGGGAAGATTTAAGAGGGCTCAGATCTTGGACTGTGTAGGCTGTGAGGTTAAAGAGATTACCCGAGGAGAAGAATGGGTAAAGGTACCAGAGGGCAGAGAAGACCTGTACAAAGTGGTCATTACCTTGGAAAGAGAATGCAGAGAATGGGCGACAGGACGTGCAGACGTTTAGATTCAGGCTGACAGAGGACAACTCTAGGCCAGGAAATGGGATTATACACTGTTGGGTAGTGACTAGGGTTAGAGTGGGTAGAACTTCATTGCGAAAGCATGGGGATAAGGATGACTGAGGAGAGCTTAGCACATCCAACATAAGAATGGAGGTTAATGTAGTAACTGCCGAGCTCTGATAGGTGAAGAGAATCTTAGCCACACATACTGTTATGATATCAGATTCCCAGAGCATTTTCGGGATTGTGAGGCAGGATTTTTTCAAAAGAAATGGGTCACATTACTGCAGAGGTGGCAGGTGGGGAGAATCACATAGATAATTTGCCTGGGCAAGACAGATGTGATGTCTTGCCTGTAGGGCGAGGCAACAAGTAAACAAGAAGCTACTGAACACCCGTACCTGAAGAGAATGTTGTGGCGGAGAGTGTCTGCGTGCTCTAATGCCACCGAGACTTGGGGAAAGGCAAGACGAGTAGTTAACCAGATTACGATGGCTACCATTAGTATAGAGACTTTCCGCAGGCTGTTGAGATGGGAGACAGCTAGTATGGGTTTGACCTGAATGCCGTGATGTCGAATCTTTACCCAGATGAACCCGGATAAGACTTATGTGTGCAATTTCTACACATGTTTTCTTTTTTTTCACGGCTCTCTTCTGTACTCTTTTGTATTTCTTTAGTGTCTCTGTGATAACAGTAACTACATTTTTGCATGATGAATATATTAATCCGTTGTGTGATCTTAAATGAACTGATTCAGTTATTTACATCAAATACTATTTTTTTAAAGTGTATCTCTATATGTTACCCCTGCAGAATTTTCAGGCATTGTGTCTCTGGCTTTAGGCTATCAAGTTGAGATAAGAGTCCAAGTTGTACACCAGTAAAATAATTCCTTACAACTATTACCAGAAGTAAAGAAGACGGCGAAAAAAAATGATTACAGAGGAAATTTTACATCAAATGCAAATAATAAGAAAATCTAAACGCAATGAAAATTTTTATAAAAGAATACACAGAGCGATTGTACGTAAATGTAATGCAGCGAAAGAAGTATTGCTAAAGAATAAATGCAAAGAAATAAGAGTACAAAGAGAGAAAACATAAGTAAAAAAGAAAACAAGAACTATCAGGTTTTAGAAAATATACAGCAAGCAGTTGCTTGAGGAAAAAAAAAAAGGTGACAAAGAGAAGATAATTGAAAGATGGACAGAGTTTGTAAAAAAGCTATACAATGATAACAGCAAAACAGACATACAGAGTCATGAAATTGGGAAGGGCCGCCAATACTGAAAGTGGAAGTTGGAGATACTATAAATCACATGACAAATTGTCAATCTAAAGGGCCTGAAAAAAATTGAAAGCTGCTGGTGAAATGGGCTTGGAGGTTTTGACAAAATTGTTCAAAGATATTTAGAACTGTGGACACGTACCGGATGACTTTTTGAAATCTCTTTTCATAACTTTACCAAAAGCTCCAGGTGCTGTGGAATGTGGAGAACATCGAAGAATTAGTTTTATAAATCGTATACCATAAAAATTGATGAGAATAATCGTGGGAGAATAAGGTGCAAAATTAAACCAGCAATTGGAGAAGAACTAACTAACTAACTAACTAACTAACTAACTAACTAACTTACTAACTAACTAACTAACTAACTAACTAACTAACTAACTAACTAACTAACTAACTAACCAACTAACTAACTAACTAACTAACTAACTAACTAACTAATTAACTAACTAACTAACACTAAAGCATTTGATAAAGTGAAACACGAAAAAATTATTAGAATTTTGGAAACCTTAAGCATTGATGCTGAAGATCTGAAATATATATATATATATATATATATATATATATATATATATATATATATATATATATATATATATATATATATATATATATATATATATATATAAGAATAAACTCACAGGGAGCAAGTACAGCAGGGATCTACCAGTCTTCAGTAGAAATTATCCTCGTCGACACGCGTTTCGGCCCACGATTTCCTAGACGCATTCGGAGGTGGGCCCACCTGAGTTCATGAAGCTCAGGGCTGGTTCCCCTGCTGCACGGAATTACCGGATGGTGTTATACTTTCGGCCAGAGACAAGACGACTTGGTGGTTTCGAAGGAGGTACTGTGAGATAAGAAGTCGCCGCGGCAACGTAATTAAAACAGTCCGCATGCCTGGACGACCGAGCGACAAGCTTACTTTGGTTTACCGGACACATGTTGGACTTTTATTAGCAGTTGGCAGAGGAACACTGGCAGACATTCGGACACGATGGATAACTTGACTTTCAAAGGGATGAGAAACTCTTTTTCGCTAGACACCCGGACCAGCTCACCGAGGCCCGTCCCCTACGTTGTTGCGCTGCGTCCAAAGCCAGCTAGAGGCCCTTTCGGCCACCTCTCCCAGTTTTTTGAGTGTTCGTTTCCGTTCATTACCGCGCAATCCTAGTTCTTTCACCACATTGTAGAGCGAAGTGGAAACGACGAGGCCTCTCGCTTCCACTTCGACGGCAAATACCCGTACCGTGTAAGCCTCGTTTCTCCTCAAATCGGCTGCTAAATCACTGTACTTCTCGAGCTTGTACAAATGATTCTCCTCCATACGCGACTCAAACGGAACCGTCAACTCAATCAGGATGAGCTTACTATTGGTCACGACCAGCTCCAGATGTATAAGACCGTACAGCTCAAACGGGAATTCCCGTTCTTGTGCAAGAATTGAGTCCCTCTGCGTCCGCAGTCTTTATCGAGGAGTTGTATACACAAATTAAACTACAGTTTCATTAATTTTGGACATATTTTTTAGAACTATACGTCATTTTTAAGGTAAATAAGTGGGCCAATTAAATATAACAATAAAGGCTCTTACAGACAAACAAAAATGCTTTTGCTACAGTCAACATGAACATAAACATCAGTAACGTTTAGATGTAAACTAAAAAATGTTCCAGCAAAAGTAAAGAAATATCAGTGCTAACTCTTTGATTCTGAGAGGGTATTGTTGCATCAGAGAAGCGGTGGGTGGGGGGGGGTGGGGGGGGGGGGGGGGG